CAGAGTCTCGAATCCAGTGTGGGTCAGGCTCCGTGGGTGGTGCGGTGAGCTGCGCCGCTTCGAGCTGGTCGGTCAAGCTCCTTGCCGAGAATATCGCCAGTGTTGGCACTGCAGTGACACTGCCGGGGCCCGCGATACGGTCGATGAGCACTTCGCCCGCGTCGCGCCTGGTGATGAATGATGACTGGCTGACGGCTGAAGACATCGCGGGAGCCTCGCCTCGCCATCGCCGCGCCGCCACGACGGGTGGTGAAGCTTGAAGTTGAGGTAGGACTTCTCCATCTTGCCTGAGGAGGAATGAGTGATGGCCAGTGAGGGGCTGCTACTTGGTTCAAGTCCAGGTACGGCCCCTCCCATCTTGCCGTCGCGCGAGCGGTGCGCGGGCGCGCCCGCGACGGGGGCGCCGTAGCGCGTGTCGCCGTGCCGCTCGAAGTCAAACAGCGCGAATCCGCAGACGTGTCCCACGCCGTCGACATGGACGGTGAAGGCGCGCACAAACTCGAGCAGCTCCTAGGTGGGGGAGAGGCGGGGAGGGGGGGGAGAGAAGTCGAGCACCTCCGAGGGGGCTGGGCATGGGTCGAGACTGGCGAGAGGGGCGGGGTCAGAGGGCTGTGGGGGCATGCTCGAGCGCGCTCCTCCGCGCGCGCGGGGAGGGCGAGGCAGAGGACGAGCGGCGCGGTGAGGCAGCCGAGGATCTCCTGGAGCAGCAGCCAGACGCGGTACTGGTACAGGCAGACAAACTCGTCGTAGACGGCTCGCGTGTGCCCCTTGCCCCGCCACCTCGCAGGGGAGAGACGGGGAGATGTGGGGAAGGTGTGGGGGAGATGTGGGGGAGATGTGGGGGAGATGTGGGGGAGATGTGGGGGAGATGTGGGGGAGGTGTGGGGAGGTGTCGGGGAGAGACGGGGAGACCGCCACCTCGCAGGCCGATAGTGCGTGTGACGCGCGACGGACTGCAGCAAGGCCTCGGGGTGGAGGGGCGCGTTGGGAGGGTCGGAGAAAGCGCGCGAGATGGCGAGGATGGTGGAGGAGACGGCGAGCCACCTGCCGAGATGCGGGGAGATGCGGGGAGATGCGGGGAGATGCGGGGAGATGCGGGGAGATGCGGGGAGATGCGGGGAGATGCGGGGAGATGCGGGGAGATGCGGGGAGATGTGGGGAGAGATGGGGAGGTGTGGGGAGGTGTGGGGAGAGATGGGGAGAGACGGGGAGAGACGGGGAGAGACGGGGAGGTCGCCACCACAGCAGGTTGAATCCCTGGCGCGGCGCCGCAGCCTCGCCGAAGAGCGCGTCGGGCGAGATGCGGTAGAAGACGAGGACGGACCTGCTCACAGCTCCTCATTCACAGCTCTTCCTTCACAGCTCGAGATGCGGCAGAGGAGGAGGGCGGACTCGTTGATGAGAGAGAGCCCGATCAGCACTGCGGCGAGCGAGCCTACCCGCGCCACTCGCAAGGCGCATGAGGAAGTGAGGAGGGGGCCGAGGCCCATCAGCGCGGGCGGCGAGACGAGCCGACGATGAAAGTGACGAAACGGGCGACCAGCGTGAGCAGCGGCGTGGGGAACTGGCGCACGTAGGCGCTCGCGTCTGCCGCCGAGGCGA